AGAGAGAGAGAGAGAGAGAGAGAGAGAGAGAGAGAGAGAGAGAGAGAGAGAGAGAACGTGAGAGAGAGAACGTGTGTGTGTAAAATTAAAATTGAACGTGTGTGAGAGAGAGAGAGAACGTGAGAGAGAGAACGTGTGTGTGTAAAATTAAAATTGAACGTGTGTGTGTAAAATTAAAATTGAGAGAGAGAGAACGTGTGTGTGTAAAATTAAAATTGAGCCGTATGAATTTTTCAACATCCGTGGATTCGTTCCAACCGTGTCAGTGGCAGGCAGACTGTGCGAGACACAGATTGGTTTTTGTAACGCGCAAGTCTATTTCTGACTAAGCGTGGATTTCACATCCGCCATGCGGGGCTGTGACACGCGCCTCCGAAATTCACCCACATGCAGTGTGATTTAAAACAGGAGAAAAATCATAGTTAAAAAATGTCTCCGTGTCAAACAATGCATTCAAAATGAGACCATGTCTACCGAGTGGGAGGTAAAGCTGGCAGAAGAAAGAAAAGGTGAATTCAATGCAATGAATAAAAAAAAAACACCTCAGGAAATCGTTCCGTGAATAAGACATGACGTCACAGATGGACACCGACTGATTGTTACAACTATACCATAGACCGTAAAAAAACAGAGCTGTACACAAAACCACCATCCGCCCCCAATCCCCCACTGACGTTAATGTATTTTTTTTTTTTTCGCACAACAAAAAAAAAAAAAATGCTGTGCTTGACATTTGTTGATTAAATATTTTATCATGTGGTTAATCATATATTTAAAACAGAATAAAATAAATAGTAAAAAATGGAAATGCTTAAAGTTACCTTACCATGTGCTGGAGGAGATTATAATATATTTAACTGCACATTACATGCTATTTTGCTATAAAATAGGCCTACTAAAATGTAAATTAAAATATGAGTTATTGCTTGGATAAATTAATGTTGTATTCATGTTTTGTTCATTTTTTTATTGCATTACATCAGTTCCATATATGTTACACAGAAGCTGTTTTATCATGTTATCTTAGCCACTGTTCATGTAAAAGTCACTAATGATAAACTTTGATACCATGTGGCCTTCTGTTCTGTTACAGTTGTTGTGGAAGATATCAGTATATTTAAGATACAAAGCAATGCAAGAACGTATTAACATTATTTGAATGAAATGTATGGATTTATTGAACGGGCCTATATTTATTAAATATGAATTCCTTTACATTTCCATGTTCCATATTTAATTAATTAAATGCTATTGTTTCCACTTTGATATTGATAGGTTGTAGGATAGTACCTCTCCAGCGGTGGACATGAGTGAGGAAACAGCCTTGCGCACACTGGAACGAACCATTCCCGTCTCAGAGAGAGAGAGAGAGAGGAGAGAGAAAGAAGCGAGAGGGGGAGGAGTGAGGGTAGAACCGGGTTCGCTGTGAGCCATGTTGGATGTGAATGAGAGATGCTGCGCGCGTGCCGCTGCTAGCCGGAGCTCTACCAAACACCGAGAGTAGATGCGAGCTTCCCGGGATCACCGAGCGACCGGGGAGCACGGCGGAAGGTGTCGGGCGGTGGGGGTTGAGCTGGCCACTTAGCCGGCGTTTGGAGAGAGAAAGAGAGACACTTGGGTTCAGAGAGAGGGGAGAAAGGGGGGGGGGAGAGAAAGGATTTCACCAGACTAATGGCTGCACTGCTACTGGATTTGGGCTCGCTTTCGCCGCTGTTGTTTCTCCTTCTCCTCAGCTCTTTGTTCACCGTTATCCCGGGGAGTGCAGCGGGGCCGTTCTGTCGCTCATTGTGCACCCACCCAGCCCCCGGAGACGCTATTTCGCCGCTGTTGTTTCTCCTTCTCCTCAGCTCTTTGTTCACTGTTATCCCGGGGAGTGCAGCAGGGCCGTTCTGCCGCTCCCTGTGCACCCACCCAGCCCCCGGAGACGCTCAAATCGCCAGCTTGCCCGACGGAACGGTAACGGGGGCTTTGGCTGGGGGCGATTGGAAGATCCACCCTGCACGGACGCTACGGTCGCGTGGATGGGAATCGCAATGCTTACGGTCCTGTGCAGAGGGAACCCCCTCAGCTCCGTTGAGTCCGGATTACCGGAATTCTAGTGCATGGATATCAGAACCGGCGGCGCACACCGGACGCAGTCATCACCAGCCTGTTTGGAGTAACGGTGGCAGTGGAGAGAAGGGCGTTGTTTCTCGTGTTCTCTCCTCTCCGGTTCAGGATGGCAAAAAGAGGACTATACAAAGGACTAGAACGCACTCGCGGCCACAGACGCGCCTCGACACGGACAGGGTCATTGCACAAAGCGTGCTGGATAGCTGTAGAACCGTGGATAGTCAATCCAGGCCCAACCTCTGCCCATGTCACCCAAAACGGGAGTATGCCGCTGCCAAGACACCAACTCGGCCGTTATTAAAAGCCTATTCTTATTCTAATTTGGTTTCGGACACCAATAAATTGTGCAAAGCGACAGCGGACCGTCCCCTCTCAGGCCCCCTGAATGTTATCGATCTCACCAGAGAGGACTGGAACGGGTCAGGCATTAGGAATATCCGCGGGTGCTCGGGACCGTGCTCGTGGCAGCTCTCTCTAGGGCTTGGAAGCGAAGCAAGCAGCTGTCTCGAGTCACACCGGATCACAGGTTGTTCTGAAATGCATCCAGACTGGCACAGCAGTAACTGGCACCGGTTCAACATCTCTCTGAGGCGCTACGCTGTTTGTGAAAGGCAGGCAAGAGAAAATACAAACACCACATCTTCAAATAAGAACTCAGAAGTAGAATTTGTGCATGCAAAGTCTGATCGGAATAGTTCACAAAAGTCTTCTAGTGCGCTCAAACGGACTGATGCTCTGGATTTAATACTACAGGCTGCCTGGGTCAGGACTGAGACTCGCTTTGTTGACAGAAAGGCTCATTATAATAGATCAACTGGAATCAGCGCTGCTCAGTTGTATATCGGCGATGTACACAACTCTGACTCATCTGCTACTGGCTCTCCCAGGGGTCATAATGCACCACATATCTACCTCTTAGTCGAGCTTAACTTTCCTAAATGTTTTCGTGACTCACACATTCACACGCGAGAAGATTCAGCACCCGCTCAGTGGACCGCGCCAATCTCCGTGCGTGAGCTCGCACACTCGAATGACTTTACTCAAAGTTTGTTGCTGAGGAATTGGAACAGTAACAATAACAACAACTGCGCCAAGAATCGTAACGATAACCACCAAAACAACAGCAGTCCTGATGATCAAATTGCAAATGAAACCCAAAATGTTCCTGACAGTGAAGAGCGCGACTTTGTTAGAGGGGAAAGCGCACGTTATCCTTGCTCTAGTACGCGTGCAGAGTGTGGCAACTACGACAGCTTAACCGCCGATGGGGGAGCCACGCGGCCGCAATTAAAATCCGGTAAACGGGTGTCATTACAAGCTGAGGGTGTCAGTCAGCAAGAGGAGCAGCTGGAAGCCGCGACTGAGTGCGATAGGAGGGAGGGACAGATAGAGGGCGGGGTGAAAGGGGAGGGAACGGGGGAGGGAGACAGACAGCCTGTAGAGGGAGAAAGGGTGGAAAGCATGGAGTGGGTGATTGCAGAAGACACAAAGGAAGAGGTAGTGTTAGAAGAGACAATTTTACTGAGAGAAAAAGAAAAAGGTCAAGGCAATGGCACCTCTCAGTCAGACAGAAAAAGCAATGAAAACAATGAGGGAATGTGGACTGAACAGAATGAGTTTAAACAGAGTCTAGATGGGGTGGGAAACACACAAACAGCTCTGTACGGTGAAAAACAAAAAGCAAGAGAGAGCGATGAAGTTCAGAGAGGAGAAGAGCAGGAGTACAACGAAGAGCAGACAGGTGTCCCTCCTGTTGGGCGCTCCCGTAGAGCTGCTAATAGGCACCCCCATTTCCCCCAGTATAACTACCAGGTTCAGGTTGCTGAGAACCAGCCTCCTGGTACCTCAGTCATAACTATGACAGCTGAGGACCCTGATGCTGGTGAGGCAGGCAGACTCAGTTACAGCATGGCCCCTTTAATGAACAGCAGGTCCATGGATTACTTCCAAATGGACCCAATTACTGGCCTTCTCACCACCACACACATTCTGGATCGAGAACACATGGACCTGCACTACTTCCGAGTTACTGCCACAGACCATGGCTCACCACGCCTTTCTGGAACAACTATGGTGACCATCACTGTGACTGATCGTAATGATCACTCTCCCGTGTTTGAGCAAACAGAATACCGCGAGACCATTCGAGAGAACGTGGAAGAGGGATATCCTATCCTGCAGCTGCGAGCAACAGATCTTGACTCGACAGCGAATGCTAACATACGCTACAGATTTATTGGAGAAAGTGCGGCTGTTGCACGCACTGCGTTTGAGATCGATCCTCGATCAGGCTTGATCACAACACGAGGTATTGTTGACAGAGAAGCAAATGAACGTTATACATTGTTGGTGGAAGCAAGCGACCAGGGAAGAGAGCCGGGCCCACGGTCGGCTACCGTTAGCGTCCATATCACTGTGTTGGATGAGAATGACAATGTTCCACAGTTCAGTCAAAAGCGGTATGTGGTTGCAGTTAGAGAGGATGTCCGACCACATTCTGAAATCCTCAGAGTCAGCGCCTCGGACCAGGATAAAGATGGGAATGCTGCTGTGCACTACAACATAATCAGCGGGAACAGCCGAGGACAGTTTGCGATTGACAGTGTTACTGGAGAAATCCAGGTGGTAGCACCACTGGACTATGAGACGGAACGGGAGTACATGCTACGGTTGCGGGCTCAGGACAACGGCCGTCCACCTCTCTCCAACAACACTGGAATTGTGAGTGTGCAGGTCACTGATGTCAATGATAATCCACCAATCTTTGTATCCACACCTTTCCAGGCTACAGTGCTGGAGAGCGCTCCTATCGGTCACTCCATTCTTCACATACAAGCTATTGATACAGATAATGGTGACAATGCACGCCTGGAATACCGTTTAACGGGAACCGGCACGGATACACCATTTGTTATCAACGCTGCCACTGGTTGGGTCACAGTGAGCTCAGAACTTGACCGTGAATCAGTAGAGCATTACTTCTTTGGTGTTGAAGCTCGAGATTATGGTGCCCCACCTCTTTCCGCCACAGCTAGTGTTACAATCACAGTTATGGATGTTAATGATAACCGACCAGAGTTTCTACAAAAAGAGTATTACGTCAGACTAAATGAAGATGCAGCTGTTGGAACAAGTGTGGTCAGCATAACCGCAGTTGACCGTGATGTAAATAGCGCCGTCACATATCAGATCACAGGTGGAAACACACGTAATCGCTTTGCCATTAGCACAGCTGGTGGAGCAGGACTTGTCTCCCTAGCACTGCCTTTGGACTACAAACAGGAGCGTCGCTATGTGCTAACAGTCACTGCCTCTGACAGAACTCTCCACGATACCTGTCAGGTGCACATCAACATCACAGATGCCAACACACACCGTCCCGTGTTCCAGAGTGCTCATTATTCAGTAAGTGTGAATGAGGACCGGCCTCCTGGCAGCACAGTGGTGGTCATAAGCGCAACAGATGATGATGTTGGAGAAAACGCCCGCATCACTTACTACCTGGAGGACAATATTCCACAGTTTCGCATCGATCCTGCAAGCGGAGCGATCACACTTCAAGCAGAACTAGACTACGAAGACCAAATGACTTACACGCTTGCCATCACTGCTCGTGACAATGGAATCCCTCAGAAATCTGACACCACTTATGTGGAGGTCAATGTTAATGATGTAAATGACAACGCACCTCAGTTCCTGAGCCCCAGGTATCAGGGTGGAGTCAGTGAGGATGCTCCACCTTTCACTAGTGTGCTACAAATCTCCGCTACTGACCGTGATGCTCATGCCAATGGCCGTGTCCAGTATACGTTCCAGAATGGAGAAGACGGTGATGGTGATTTCACCATAGAACCAACCTCCGGAATAGTCCGGACCGTCAGGAGACTTGATCGTGAAAGTGTTCCCTTCTACGAGCTGACTGCATTTGCTGTGGATCGCGGTGTTCCACCTCAGCGTACACCTGTACACATTCAAGTCAGTGTCATGGATGTCAATGACAATGCTCCAGTGTTTCCTGCTGATGATTTTGAGGTTCTAGTGAAGGAGAACAGTGCCGTTGGGTCCATCGTAGCTCAAATTACAGCGACTGATCCAGATGAGGGCCCAAACGCTCAGATTATGTATCAGATTGTGGAAGGAAATATTCCAGAAATCTTCCAAATGGACATTTTTTCAGGAGAACTCACTTCTTTAATTGACCTTGACTACGAAAAACGGAATGAGTATGTAATTGTTGTCCAGGCCACATCGGCTCCACTAGTCAGTCGTGCCACGGTGCGCATACGACTGGTTGACCAGAATGATAATGGGCCCCAAATGCAAGACTTTCAAATCATCTTTAACAACTTTGTATCCAATCGATCTAACACCTTCCCAAGTGGGGTTATTGGACATGTTCCAGCCCATGACCCAGATGTTTCGGATCGTCTCTACTACACCATAGACCGCGGGAATGAGCTTCACCTGCTGCTGTTGAACCACACGAGCGGGGAGATCCGCCTCAGCCGGAAACTGGACAACAACCGACCACTGGTGGCCCCGATGCTCGTCACCGTCACTGGTAAGGCCAAGGGGGGAGGGAAAGATGTGAGGGAAAGGGGGAGGGAGGAAGAAAAGGAAGAAATGGGGCAAGGGCTATTAAGGTCATAAGGATGAAATCAAATCAGGTCAAATTGGTTTTGCTAACTCTTTTCTGCAGTGCTCTATTATGAATATTGCTGAAGGCAATGTGTCAGTGTAGAGGGTGCATGTTAGAGGAAAAATAGAAAGAATAGAAAATATCTTCAGAGAAAGCTGACCCTTGACTTGCATTTTTCTCTGTAAAGACATTTTGCGATCAATGTAAATTACTTTATGCTGGAATGATTTCTGCTGTCATTAGCAGGTACAGTAACAGGAGTCTCAGTGGTAACTTGAGAGAGTGTAAGTGCTGAGGAGAGCATTGCTTGGCCACAATGGCTGATGTTGTTGATTGCATTGCTGGAAAGTGTAGATAATTGTGGCTTTTGAAAGGTTATAAATTGTGATTTGTTATTTACAGACAAGGTGACTAAAATGGTAAATTTAACATTATGTGTGGGGTTTTGTGGCTGCTTTGTGTTTATTTATCACTTAGAAAAAAAATCCTGCTCGACTTGAACAATACTGCTGATTTAGTTCTGTGTTTTTACCTTATCTGCCAGTTTGTGTGTGTATGTGTATGTAAGGCATATAGGTTGGGGAGTTTGTAAGACTGCAGTGTTAGACAGCTCAGTTACCCTCTGGTAACATTCTCTCTCTCTTCTGAGGAAAGCACACTTCCGTTTCCATCCCCCCTTTACTCTTTATTTCTCATTCGCTCTTTCTCTCACTATTTTCCTTTTACAAAACATATTTTTCTGTTGGGTTAAATCGTCTAAATATGTGTTTCTAAATAAGCTGAGCGGCTTTCTTCTACACTGTACAATTTAATCATTAAGTTTTGATGTCCCGTGGGAAATTTAAGGTAATTTAAGGGAAGGTTAAGTTGAAGGAATTTCCTATTAAATAATTCCTTTGTATTTCGCTTCACCCGGAGAAACAGCAGTTACAGTTTTCTAATGAGCACGGCCCATTCATTGTCTGTAAGATGAAATGACATAGTTTGGAACTCAATGTCGCTTTTTATCTTGTTATTCTCCAAGCAAGGCAGATGTGCTTATATTTATGTGATTAGTTTATTTAGCTATTCCCTCTATGATGTGATGTACAAAATGCACATTTTAGGTGTAGTTAAAATCGTATTGGTCTTAGAAATAATGCATCTATACCAAAATGAAATTGTGTGTACATACTGGTAAATGTAGTTTAATAGAGGATTACAGACAGCCCTCTTATCTTGCATGCTTTCTCTTGCATTCTCTCTCTCTCTCTCTCTCTGTTCTACTTTACTTTGAGTGTAATAGGACGTCCTTAGGGGAAGTCTGGCTTTGGAATCAAACGAAGCACAGTAATCAGCTGTCAAACTAGTGCCCAAGATTTTGTATGTGTGTTTGGGTAATCAGATGGTTTAATGTTCATTCATGCAAGCATCTACTATGTTTATGCCTACATCTGGATTTGTTTGAGCATATATTAAGTTTGTGTGTTTATACACATATGTTTTTGTGCGTATGTGTGTAAGTGTCTGTAGTTGAGTGCCTCTTGGCTGATGGGGGTAGAAATATATTTCCAGGTGACTAATTTCAGCTATGAAGGGCAGATACATCTAAGCATTTCACTCTGTTTTGTGTGCAAAAACACACAAACAGAGGCCCTTGAGACCTGGGGCCTGTTCTTCGTACGTCGCTAACTCAGTTAGCTGGATTTGATTGTTGACGATTTGGCATGATCTTGGATTGTTTGGTTCTTCAAAGCTCATCCATGGACTTGCTGTCATAGCAACAGGTCCATAAACTTAAACCTGCTCGGGAGCAGGCTTATTTCATGTAAACAGGATTAGATTGCATCTTTTATTGATATTTAAAATCTGTCCGCTACCACCGCTACTTTATTACAAGAGTACCCTACTAATTCAGGGACAATAATTTTTTTAATAATAATCATTTAAAAATTAATTTAAAGATAATATAATAATGTTGTGTAGTCTTTAATACTATAGACACAGCCATTTTACTCACTGAAAGATGTATTTGTCATACAATTATTACTTCATTATTGTATTCGAGTCTTACACACATGCTATACAGATAATGTAGAGTCATGCATTAATTTGAGTGGTGACATATATAATGGGAGTGGCTTGATGGAGCGCAGGAGATGCAGATAACATGATCTTGACCCTTAAGAAACTTTAATTAATGCTGTCACGTAACAAATCTGTTCAAATATAAAACGACGTACGAAGAACGGGCCCCTAGGGTCTGTTTTGGTCAGGCTAGATTTGTAATGTCAGTGTTTACAAGCGTGTTAAATGTGTGAGCTGCTGTTGTGGAATTTGTGAGCATGTGCATGTATCAGGTTTGTTGTGTCAGGTAGAGAAACCTGAAAAACCTAGGGACCTCTGAGATCTATTTGTTTATTTCATGTTTTTGTGAGCTGGTAGAAGCTATTTGCATGTTTTCCTGCGACCCCAGCAAGAACTGCTTCAAACACACAGTTTTTTTCCTCTTCTAACAATCCCCTTCTGCAAAACAAGCCTAAAATAAAGTTCACTTTAGAGTGGGTAAGTGAGCTGGATTATAAAAGATTAAAAGGGTCTCAGAGAGGAATAGAAAGAGATACAATGAAGAAAGGATAGGCTTAGGGAATGTGTAGAAAAAGAAGAAAACAGATTGAGAGAGAGATGATAACAAAACACTCAAGTGGAAAAGAGAAATGGAGGGTGGCGAATGACAGGCGAGTGATTGAACAGCAGGAATAGAAAGAGGAAAAAATGTGATGATGTGTTCAAAGTCTTGGCTTTGAATGGCTGAAAAGAAAATTATTTCAGATGAAAGAAATGGAAAATTGCCCTCTTTTAAACGTACCATACAGCTCTTAATATGCTTTTTAGTGATATATATGTATATGTTCTTGTATTTGTGCCTGCACTTAAAAATCATCTTCATAAGTAGTATATTGATCTTGTTTTCCAGTAAAATAATGAAACATCTTTATAAACAAGATAATTATTTAAAATATAAATGTAAAAGAAAATATGTTAGGAATTTTTGTTTTCATTTATTTATTTATTGCTTGTTTTAAGCATATATTTCATACGTGTTGATAGATTTATGCCCAAAACAAGCACAAACAATTTGTCAATGGTATTATAAAATAAGTTTCAGAATTCAGAATATGTTCTCTAAAACAAGCCTTAATATCTTGGTTTATCAAATACATTTAAAGGATATTTTGAAGTAAAATATGAAACCATGCAGTAATATTGTGAAATATGATCTGAGTTTAAAATAATTGTTTTCTATTTTAATGTTTAAATTCTGCATTTATTCCTGTTATGCAAATTAGAATTTTTAGCAGCCATTACTCCAGTCACATCCTTCACAAATCATTTGAATATGCTGATTTGGTGTTCAAGAAACATTGATATGATTTATTATGTTGAAAACAGCTGTGCTCCAAACAGAAATCTTTAGTAACTTTATAAATATCTTTACTGTCGTCCTAATTTTTCGTATTCCACTCCTTCCACTGATTGCTAATGTCAAACATCATAGACACAAATATTAAACAAACAGCAAAGAAACACACACACACACACTGCTGATTTGACTTATCCTCTGTGGGAGCCCGAATGTGTTGAATTAATCAGCATGACTAATAATATTTTCTGCTGTAATCTACATTAATCATTTAAATCAATGTTTTGTTTAGTTTTATTTAGATGTTGAGTAACCATAATGTGTTGCCCCTGCACTAGTTGTGGCTGTTTACAGTAATTAAGATCATTACTTGTCATTTTGCTGTAATTGCTATTATTTGTTAGGCCTCAGTGATTATTGGAATATGACAGAAAATGATATGCAAGATATTGCTGATTTGCTTCCATTGTGTTTTGCACCATGTGTTTTTTAGTTTAATGGCTTTGTGGTGTGTTAGAGAGAAGCAGGGACTGTTTTGGGAGGTCAATAGGGAGCCACTGCCTTATAATCCTGTAATCAAACCAGCTGCCTCCTCGCACCCTTCCCCCACTT